GTTGATCCTCCAAGTGCTCGAACCGAGGTATCTAACCAACAGTATCTGAAAGGGGGAAAACATTTTCAAAAGGTGAGCTAGGCTCAGTGTGTCCCAACATTTCCATAAAATCACAATAGGTACAAATCATAGTCCAGTAATCTCACAAATTCGTAAAAGAGTTTAACTTTTGAAAATCATAGTTTAAACCCTTTTCTGGTACACCATCAGTAGTTCCCAAAATTATTTTCCATATAGCTTACTTTATGCACATAGCAAAAAGAAAGCTGACTTAAGGATAGGCTCTGAAGGTTGTATCCTTAAGCCCAAGTCAATAAGTCCATATAGCTTACCCTAAGCACACAACAAAGGAAAGCCGACCTAATGAAACATCTTGGGGCCCTCAAGAGTCACATTAGGCCCATTTAGCTTGATCAGAGCTATTCCATCGTAATTCAATTCCAAAATTCAATTGCACCGTGATATAAATTCCATAAATCCAAAAACATGGTAATCATATACCATTTCAAAACAAAAATTAGATAGCAACCATATTCCATAAATTGTCACATAAAATTGGTTCATCCATAAAACAATAACCAATGAATTCGGTGTACCACATATTAAAACCAATAAAGCAGTTCAGTAATAAGTAGGGAACACACCTCGACAATAGGTTCAAATATCAAATCTACTGATTGCTGGTTTCACCACGCTCTGCTATAGTTTTCGAACGCGTGAATAATGGCACACGTGGTTTAACTGATCTAGAAGAGTTGGGTCGAGCTGTCGAACGATCCGGAGAGTCTCTTGTACCTTCAAACAATAATAATCTATCAGTCTCAAATCCTATTTAATTGTTCAAAACTAGACTTCTTAAGTATATAAGCATTTTTCGGGTTTGACTATCAATTTGGGGTATTTTGAGTCTGAATTTGGCCAAACGGATTGCGGAATCGGAATCAGGACGTCGAAAAACATAAAGTATGACTTTTCGAAAATTCAGATTCTTGGTCAAAGTCAAAGTTAACCACTTTGACCGTTGATTTGGAGGCCTTCGGGTTCGAATTTGATGAAACGGACAGCGGAAACGGATTCGGCACGTCGAAAACTATCAGGATAGGTATACTCGGAAAAGATTAACGGTCGTTTAATGCTCGGTCAAAACCATTTTAAGTTTTGGTCAAAGAAAGTCAACGGTCAACGGTCGGGTCGGTTCGGGTCAACGGTCGGGTCGGGTCGGTCGGTCGATCGGGTCAGACCAGTCAAATCGGTTCAGACCGGTTAAACCGGTTCGAATCGGTCGAAACCGGTCAGAACCGGTTGAAAACCGGTTAAACCGGTTTCCAGCAGCCACTCTCCCTGCGGCGGAGCGTGTGGCGCGTGAGGCGTCCTCCGGAGCCCTAAAAATCCCGAAAAAATTTCTAAAAATTATTTTGAGCGATTCGAGATACTTACAACGATTTGTTCAAATTTTTGAACGGCGGAGAGCTCGATTTCAAATCGGCCGAATCTTTGACTGCACCACCTCCTCACGCGCCGCCGTCGACGGCGGACAAGGTTGACACCGGTGAACTCGAAACGACACAAGGAACACGATGGTGCAGGAGGTGTCGTAAACTGAGCAACGATCGACGGTGAATTTGAGATTTTCTCGGCGATAGAGCTAAAAAAAACGTCGATGCTTTGACTTGAAATTTCCGACGTTTAGCAGCGTTTCGCTTCAATTAATTAAGGGGATTGTTCCTGACTCGATAAAGAACACGATGGTGGTTTCAATTTGACGATCGGATGTCGAACGGCGTCGGAATCGGACTTGAAAGTCGAGGTGCGGGAGGAGTGAAAGTTTAAGAAAAGCTTTTTTGTTTTCTGATTGAAATCAGAAAACACGTTAAGTTATAACCAAACCTGTCGACACTTTTAGGGAAATTCAGGGTTTGATCTCTGAATTTCCTTTACTTCAAAAATATACCATCCAATTTCACTCATTTTCATAATTTACCTCCAATTTCAATTAATATTATTTTGTAAATAGTCGGGTTGTTACATGAATCCCTTTTCATGACGTGTGAGAGTTTAATCGGTGAGGGTCATTTCCAGCATCACGGCTTCATTCTTCAGGTAATAAAGTTTTGAACCACTTACCCATTCTTCAGGTAATACCTTTGTCATTTCCAAGTCAAAGATGCAATTTGATACATAATCCCATTTGATAAGAAGCAAAGAAATTTTTTATTATAAACTCAAAAACAAGTTTCAAGAGGCAACTCAGTTTTTTTATCATGATTGTCTAATGCAGGATCAAGCTAGTTGATTCGATCGTAGGTAACGCATAAATAAAACCACGGTAAAACAACAGCCTGGTTTAATTTACTAATTAGAACACTTTTTTTTTTTGTTGAAAGGATTAAATATATAACATATACCTCAACGTTAAACTATTTTCCTCTCCAACTGGAACATTCGGGTAAGTCATATTAACAACACTATAACGTCATGCATTACGCCTCGACCCTTTGTTTCTATAACATGAGACGGTCTGTTTATTTTTCCTAGGTGAAAGTTTAGGGCCAAACATAAAATTACGCCATCTTCCTTACTCTCAGGAAAGAGAAAAACAATTAGCCAATCATATCTTAACACGTGTTCATCTGTGTCACCGATTCGGTTTTACATAACAGTACCCGACAGCGTCGTTTCCACTGCCATTTTTTGGTTTTTTTTCCAGTTGACGGCTCAGAACGGCGTCGTAGAAGGATGTCGGCGCGACAAAGCGGCTGTTGAGAAAAAGCCGGCGAAGTTCAACTTTGTGTACCAATAGGAAGCGAGTATCTCTCCGCGTTGATCCAGGAGACAATCTTTGAAAGGGAATCTAGGCCGTTCACGGAGGCTCAAAGAAACACAGCACAAGGAACTTTTAACCGTCGGATTTTGAACGTGTCACGTTTTCTTTATTGGTTCACATCCGTTGCCTATAAATACGTTTACTATTTCTATTTCTTACCCCCAGATTCTTGCCTTCAAGATTTCGAGTCGCATCATCCACTTTTCTCTCTCTAAAACTTCCTCGCATTCGTTTTTTGCAGCTTTTTTCTTCTCCTTTCTGTGGTAAGCGTAGTCTTAATTTCCAGGTTTTACGAGTTATTTTTTTTTTCTAATTTCTTTGAAGTTTTGTGAAATTTTAGTGATTTTATTTGTTCTGTTTTCTAATTTTATAATTATTTGGTTTGAAATGGTCAATATAGATGGCCCGTACGAAGCAAACTGCTCGTAAGTCTACCGGCGGCAAGGCTCCAAGGAAGCAGCTTGCCACTAAGGTTTTCTTTCTTCTTCAATTATTCGATTTTGTTATTTTACCTCGAATTTATTTGTTCCTTCTTATGGATTAAAAGCCCTTTTGTCAAAAATCATTTTGTGTTTCTTAGGCTGCTCGCAAGTCGGCACCGACGACGGGAGGCGTGAAGAAGCCTCACCGATATCGTCCTGGAACTGTAGCTCTACGGTTAGTAATCGAATGGTTGTTTTTTCCGTCTCTTTCTTTTCTTGTTGACACGAATTTCATCTAAGATTTTCCGTTGGATGCAGTGAAATCCGGAAGTACCAGAAAAGTACTGAACTTCTCATCAGGAAACTGCCATTCCAAAGGCTTGTTCGTGAAATTGCGCAGGACTTTAAGGTAAATAACATTGGAATTGAGATAAGGGGAGAAAAAGTTTATGTAATGGGTGATTTTGACATTGGATCTTTTATGTGGCTTGCAGACAGACTTGCGTTTCCAGAGCCATGCAGTATTGGCGTTGCAAGAGGCAGCAGAGGCGTACCTGGTTGGATTGTTTGAAGATACCAACCTCTGCGCCATTCATGCTAAACGTGTTACAATCATGCCCAAGGACATTCAACTTGCCAGGAGGATTCGCGGTGAAAGGGCTTAATTCATCTCTGATATTTTCTTATGATAGTTTGATGTTAATATTCATTTTGGAATGGAACTCTGTTGCTGTTATACCCCTTTTAATTAGACTGGCTTTTAGTCCTTTAAGCTAAATATAGTCTTGTTTGATAAGTTGGTAAGATCTGCACGGTGTCATTGAAGAAAAATAACAACTTCGACGCTTGCTTTTCTTAAGATATTCGTATTTTGATTGACGAATCTCCAAGAGATATTACTTAAAACGAAAGAGAGGCGAATGAGATGAATTTAGCGATCATGCTATGTTTGTGGATTTAGGAAATCAGTCCTACATTTTGTAGAAGAAGCGCAAAAAAAAATTACACATCTTGATCCTTTTAAACAAGTGCAAGAATTGTACTTATGGCGTTGATAGTTCAATTGCTAATTATTCAATACGTAAATATTACTCTTCAGGTTCGACTTTAACTTTCGGTTTCATGTATTGGTGTTTCCTCATGGAAGGCATAAAATGGCAACGTCTCAAAGTTGCAGACTTTTATGCTTTCTTCAACCCAACCCAACCCATCTATTTTATCTCAAGACTTTTATTCTAAACCACCAGAAATCAGCACTCATTCACAAATCCACTCAAGTCTGATAAGCCGATCTATCAAAGCTACAACACGCTTCCCGGGGGTTATGACTTATGATCTTCAAAAGTCCATGCCTACCCAATAAGCACTGCCTAAAACATTCTTAAAAAGTCCAACGGTGGAGACAGTGAAGGGAGTAGGGGCTCTATCCTATGAACATGCCATTTGTATCACCCGTCTCTGACTTGAGATATTTAGTAAACCCAGGTAGGATGGACAATTTATGTTCTCAAGAATTGTGGTTGGTCTTAATAAATAAAAAAGGAAATGCGGTTGGTCTGAAATACAATCATAGAAGCTTTTCTCAAATTCTTAATATTTCTTGGTTTACCACACTAACCTAGAAGGCTGAAACTGATGATCACCGCACCAGTTTTAAAAAAGAAAAGAAAAGCAATAGAACGAGGTTCCAAGCATGGGAATCGATGAGAAGTAAATTCCTTTTATCAGAAACACAATTGCGTCGTCCATTGATCTATAGTATAGCTAGGGTACACGCCCAATTTTCTTATTAACTCGTCCTTTTCAAATAGGATATTTTTCCAGGAAAAAAAATCTGTTTTCAGCCAAGAAATTCATCTGTGTTTAACAGTTGATACAACAGAAGAAAAGGCACGACGGTTTTCTGATAATCATGGGGTACCATCTACAAAGGACCTGGAAAAGTACCATTCTCCCTTTGCTCATTCCATCTGTCTATCTGAGAAACAAAAAAAGAGGATAACTGTTAGCTTAAAGAGTCCACAAATGGTAAATAAACCAATTAGCCAACATTGCAACATATGATGACAGAGTATACTAATACAAGCCTCAGAATCTGGAACATATTATACTCAAATAGTTTAAACTGGAGCTGGACGAATGGATTAATCAGATCATAATATCTTTTCCCCACGCTAGAAAATACCTTTTCAATAAAATGATTTGGCATTGGCAAGAGCAAATATATCATTACAGCATCTTGCACAGTCATGATCTCCTGTGTTATATTCTATTTTGATTCTTCATGTTAGGTTCTAACAAAAATCTCTGGACCGACAATACAGTCAGAGATCCTAAGGACCTCTTTCGTAGTGAAGCAGAGTTGAGCTGATCTAATGCCAGAGTCAAGGCTCAGAGCTCAACTTTAACTTGAATGAACATTGATTTTCATATTAGAGCTCAGCTCATAAATTATTCATTCAGCAACTCAAGCTTGACTCGAATAGATAGAGAAACTAAGAATTGAATATATATATTTTTCATTAACTTAAATGTACATATTCAATATATCAAAATATATATTAAGAAAAAGGCTTAACTATGTACACAATACTCTGTAGTCAGGTATTAAAATAATTGAACTCAGCTTGACTTGTTACTCAAGTAACTGAAATGTTTAGCTCGGCTAGATACCGAAGAATCAAACCCAAGCATCCACCAAATTGAGCTCAAGTAGCTTGAGTGATTGAAGCCATTTACTACAACATGCAAGTTTGGTGTATTTTCGGGTCAGATACAGTTGAACTCAGAGTTCACAGATCATGGCAGCTTTTAACTTTCACACTGTAAAAGTAATAGAACTAATTCATCCAGCTTGTCTTCAACAGTCCAACATCATATCATATGTAACTAATATTCATAATTTAGCATACTAAGCAACCCCTCTCAAAATGATAGGATTCATAAGGCATTTCCCGATTTATGCATTAATGAGTGACAAAAGAATCCATGCAATAACAGCTAAAGCAATTATGCAATCGATTATGATGAAAAGGAGTGTATCATTGTTCTAGAGAAAATACACACCCATTCTCCAGGACATAGTGCACGATAATACTTGGCAAACTTATCACACTCAGGAGCATCCTCTCCTTTTGCAGCTACACAACTGTATAAGACGAAAAGATAAAGACATGTCAAGAAGCATTGTCAGAAGAAACAAACCTTTATACCATTATAAGATACAAAATGATTAATAAGCATATTTTAACTCACCGATGGTACTCGATATATCGTGTGAAGCAATGCCTTGTTTGGTTTGTAGTTGGGAAGCGAAAATCTGCCGGGGCAGTCTCAAGCTGGATATCATAAAAGTACCACACTATGTTAGTGAAGCAATATAACATGTAAAAACGAGTTATCAATACACATAGAGAACTCGAAGCAGCAGATACGAAGTTCATAATAAAAGATGTTCAGCCTTCAGCATGGTAACCTTTATCTCAGGCGTTTCCTCAGCATCATCTGAGTTTTCCTGTGCAGCAGGTTCGCTACTTTCCTCCGAATCAGCTACAGCACCTTCACCACTGTCCCCAGCAGCAGGATTGGCTTCAGAGCTTTCTTCAGCAGCAGGAGGGGTCTCGGTGTTTCCCTCAGCTGGAGCAGGAGCCTCCTCCAATTTCTCATTCATAACATCCCCAGAGCCAGAGGCAGCATTTACTGGATTTGCAACCTCTTTTTCTTCTGCTGGTTTTGGTGCCACATCTGATTTCTTCTCTTTCTCCAGTGCATATTGCTACATATCCAAACATTTAAGATAAATTAAGTTTCATGCATAATAAGGTCAAATAATTACCCCCATTATACATGCACAAACAAGCAGAATGAGAGAACTTAGTATCGGCTCAACTATGCAAAAGGTTTTACATACATGAGAAGTAGGAATTGCATTGAAGTTATCAATACACGATCATGGAAAACAATGTTGCAACCTAGTTAAATTTAAATGTAAGCAAAACAGGCTTAAAGGAGATGATAGAAAGCCCAATTAATTATTCTAAATCAATTAAGAACCTTATTGCTCACACAACATGCTAATAAATGAATTTGCATGTAGTTCCTAAATGGGAACATTGATGATGTTGTGCTGTGCTACCGTGTGGATTGAGATGACCACGAATTAGGGAAAACTATAACCCCTTCATTGGATGCTTAAGCCACCGAAACCTTTGGTCAAAATTTCCATTCGATCCAGCTATTATTGCTTGATAAAGCACCATAACCAGTAAAAGACCCAATAAACTTGGGATCAAAATGTTAAATTTCAATGGACTTCATGAATGAAACCCCCCAACAAACCAACATGTTTGAGAAGCAAAAATAGTCGAACCTTAAGATAAAATCGTAGAGTAACTTCATTGAGTTGATTCAGTCAAAAACTGGCAAAAAATCCAGATATCATATTTTCAAAATGATGTTCAAGAAAATTGGACGTTAATTATATTCGACAACCGGAAAAAGAGAATCATAATTCAATCAAAACCACATCTCAAGAACTTCAAAAAAATTGATATGCTTTATCCACCAAATGATTCTAATTCCAGCAGCATTCATTAGTCGGAATGTCGGATCCGTTTCATTTCAATCCAATTGAACTAAGATCTAAAATCCAAAATTGAAGATCCAACAACAGTCCAAAAAAATTCAGGGAAAAAGTAATGGAGATCGAAATCAGCAATTTCTACAAGGGTTAAAAATAAACTGCTAAAATCATTGCTTCACAAAATAAATAAACAGATGAGAAAAAACTAAATGATTACCTCAGAAAGGGAGAGGGGTTTTTCAGTTTGAGCATCCGCCATAGCCGGGAGAGGAGGCGATCGGCCGTTTCTTCAGTTGGCGAGTTCTACTTTGGGGGTGAGCAAAAAACGTAGGATAATAAGGCGAGACGAAGGGGGAGAGGTTATGATTTCAGTCTTCTACAGCGGCAGTAAAATTTTATAAAGTAAATAAATAAAGCAGCGACCTATTGTATTCCGTTTACGATTTTAGCGAGCTGAAATTTTGACCGCGAATTAGTCATGTCAATCGGTCGGAAGAATCGGACAATGTTATAATTATTTAAAAAATTAAATAAAAATACTAAAAATATTTAATAAAAAATAATTTTTTATATCACAAGTCATATTCAAAGCAAGTCATAACATATATAAGTTAAAAACTATAAAATCAAGAGAAACAAAATGATTTAAATTAACTACAACATAATATTTAAGGTAAAACATATTAAATAATAAATATAATTATATCTATAATTAAAAAATAAATTTGGGGTTAAAAAAGCATAACAAAATGATATTATTTGGTTTAATTTTTTTTAAAACAATCTCACATGGCTAAGAAACATAGAATAGCATCCCAAAAGTCTAAAGAGTAAAAATATGAGAACAAACAATCTCACATTGCTAAGAAACATAAAAGAGCATCACAACTAACTTCTATAAATAATAGAGGTAATTTGGCATTCAAAATCATGGAGCCTTTTGGTAAGCATTGAGTGAACTATTCTTTCACTTCAATCAAGCTCGAATTTTAGGCTTCAATCGAGTTTCTAAATTTTGTTTAGTTCAATCTTTTTTGAGTTTAAATTTCAATATTATATTTCGAGTTTGAGTTGAACTTGATAATTTTTAGCTTGTGAGTTTGAGTTGAGTTGAGCTTACTTTTAAAGTTTTCAAGTTCGAGTCGAGCTCAGCAATACTCGAGTTTGACTTGGCTCGTTTAACAAACGACGTTGTTTGGTTTAATTTAAAAAAAAAACAAAAATCCCGATTTTCAGCCGGTCCGGTTCGAACAGTTCAACGATTCTGACCGGTTCACTAATAGCGGTTTAACCGGTTTAGATTGAATCGGACTAAGCAACGATTTCCGGTTGAACCGGCTGATCCGGTCCGATTTTTAAAACAGAGAATACAAGTGATCTCGTTTCACTTTTGATTAGGCAGTATATCGTTTGGTTTAAATTTTAACTTTTTTTTATAAATTTGATTCTTTTCAATTATCATTTTTTCGTAGTAGTTTAAAATTTTAGGTTTTTATTTTAATAAAATAAATTTTAAATTGTAAATCATTCAAATAGTGTGTTCAAATTAATAAAAAAAATTATTGTTGAATCCTACTCTTGAGCGAGTCAGATGTTGGGCCGACTTTTCTAACTTGTTAGGCTATGGAGTTGAGCTCTTTTCCTTTCTAATTTTGAAAAAATACGAATTATCTACATCTTGAGGATTTGCTTCAGCTATCCCATACCGTACCAAAACAACGAAATCATTTTCCATTTATGTTTCTTTATTATTCAACTGCTTACCGCTTCAATTCTTCCCATATTGTCGTGCACTACCCTTTGAAATTTATCTTTACCCAAAGTTTGATTATATATACAACCCGTAAAGTTTGATTTAAGATAATTAAACAGACTCGAAGTGTCTGAAACATAGAATATAACACATTACCATCAACATTGAATTTTTAGTTATATAAGCAGCCCCAAGGTTTAGAAAGGTGAGCAATATTTGAGTCAATTTTTACCAACACTACACCCATCCATTATTAATTCATGACCACACATATCAACCCTACATCCACCTTTGAATAAAATATCCAAACCTGCCTGGAACATTCTTCCACTCATTTCTTATAAAAACCTACCTCTAATGTATGCATTTTTTCCTTCATATTTGTTAGTATTTTCCCTTTTTTTTTTTTACAAATAAGCTCTCATTAATGCAATATAGCTTGCATTCTTATTCAATACTGTCAGTATTTATTTTAAAACTACTAATAATGTGCAAATTTTTCTCAACCTAGTATATAGAACAGGTCAACTGGGTGTCCTCTACTGCTCCAGGAGTAACTGGACAATCTGGTCAAATAAAACAGATTTCAGAATAGTCGGGTCCTTAATTATTTAAGAAAATGGAATTCATCCATAACTATCTATGGAAATAACATTTTTTATTAAATTAATATATTTAAAATAAAAGCTTAATTAAAAATTAATAGTGTTATCGGGATAAAAATGCTATAAATTATATACACAATATAATTTTTCATCAGCCAGTAGACATCAATGATCTACCCAGGATCATGGAACCATGTTATAGGTGGGAGGGGATTGTCCCCGCAACTTTGATGGTATAATTACCTTTTAAGCCATTGGTAGTTTTCAAATTATTGCAATTAAATCTTTTTCCCTCTCATAATCTTATGGCATAATTATTTTTTGGACACTGTCAATTTTAAAATTAATGAAATTAAATTTGATCCTAAATTTATCTAGTTTCATTATTTTTAAGACCTTTGAATTTTAAAATTTGTGAAATTAGACTGAATCTCTTAATTTTCATGATTTAATTATTCTATTTATTTAAAAGTTAAACAACTTACCTCCCTCGTAGTTAAAACCTGGTTCCTTCCCTGGATCCACCCAGCTGTCTTCTAAAGAGGGCCTGCTAAGTATTGCAAGAGCTTTGATTCTAACAATCAAACTTTTGTTACAGATCTTATTTGTTGTTTTGTGACAATGTTTCTAAGGGGTGTTTGGATGGGGAATGTGTGATTCCCAATGGGAATGAAATCCACATTCCCCGTTTGGTTAGTTCGGGAATCATTCCCGGTAATGTAAGATTATCAATAGTAGATTTTTTGGGTATATTAGCGGGAATGTCATTACCTCCATTTTCTTAGGTATTGTTGGATTACCCGCGTTTTGGACTAAAATGTCATTAATTTTTTTTTTCTTTCAAAAATATCATTCTTCTGTCATTGAATAATAAAAATTCTACGAAGGTTAAATTACAAATTTATTCTTAAACTATTTTAGATTTACAAAAAAATATATAATTAAAATTTTATATGAAGTTCAGGGGTTAAAAAAATCACCCTTTCATTAAACCTTTTTATATTTTTAATTTTGTAAAAAAAATTATATAAATTTTATGAATTTAATTTTTTTAAGAAAATATATAAATATTTTTCAACTTGTTAAAAAAACAAATATATAATAAGGACAATTTGGTCAAATATACATTCTAATAATCTTTTATTCTTTTAACCAAACATGGTAATCTTACATTCCTGCTAAGCCAACCAAACACAAAATATAACATTCCCAGTAATCTTATTCCATAGTAATCTTACATTCCCACTGGTAATCTTACATTCCCACTGATAATCTTTCATTCCGTGAACCAACGTACCCTAAATTTTTCTATTTCCTGCAGAGACCAAAATGGTAGATGTCATGTCATAAATCCTAATTGTGATCAAATAAACCACTTCACATAACATGCAGGATTTCAAATGATGGATCATGAGCAATTGTAAAAGTCATTGAAAATAATAATCAAACCTACTTGAATTTTATGGTAATCCCATATATGAAAACTAGAAACAGAAGACATAATGTAAAAAATAACATTTTTTTATCGACTAATCATTTTAATTTTTTTCAGAACATAAAAAAAACTTTTTATTTTAAAGTATTAATAATTTATTAATTAACAGTTTTTATCTTCAGATTATTCTTTTCTCTAAAATTAAACATTAGTGTTAAAGTATTCTGAAATAATAAAATTCAAAATAATTATTTAATCAAATATTATGAGTATTTTCAACATTATACCGAACAAAACAACAGCTTTATCTTGTGTCAAATGGTTAAAAAATGTGAAATATATCTTTACATCCAAAAATGGCTAAACTAAGATTAACAGATAAAATCATAAATATCACAGATGCGGCAAGAACAGCTCTTACAGATAAAAGTAATTCATATTTCTAAAACGTTTAATAAATACTTAATTTTTAACTCTGTTCTCAATCAATATTTTAACAAAATAAGAAAATTTGAACTTTCTGTCATATGGCAAGCAAAATGAAAAAGAAAAGAAAAGAAAGCTTCTAAACTCTGACCAGGACGATAAAAGATTCTTTCTTTATCCGACCACTGGTAATTGAATAAAATTCCCCACCACCCTAACCATGTACAGAAAATCTTTAAAGCCACAATTTTCGCTCCATGAAGGCTTACCTGAACTTAAAATTTATCAAAGGCCTCGCCATTTTGGACTCGGCACTGGCACCGTTGGTGACAGCGGGAATCCTAATTGACCCGAATTTGGAGAAAATAGAACACTTGGGGAAAATAAAGGATGGTGACCGTGGAGAATTCAGGCACCCGAACGGTAATGATGATGACGATAACTGTGACTGGTTTATCCCCGTTGATGATACCTGTGGCGGATGTTGTTGTTGTGGCTTTTGCGGAGGCGGTTGCTGCTGCTGTTGCTGTTGAGGAGCGCTTAAGTTGTTCCAACGGGGTGAGATGAGTGGGACCAATGGTGGGAATTGCTTTGGATTGGAATCAACAGTGAAGGGCATGGAGCTTTGGAAGTATCGCAAATAGGCGGAAACCGGCGATTCGGCAGCCGCGTGCACAGCTGGAAACGGGGGAAGCGGCGAAAGAGGCGGCCCAGCCTGTGGTCGTTGAATGAAGCTATTACTAACGGGGCCATTGATAGGGAGGGTAGGCTGAGAGCAACCGGGAGGATTCATGTTGGGTACGGCGGAATCGGTCATGGAAGCCGCTGCCGCAGGGCGATTGCTAACGTGCGCTAATGGAGGAGGTCGGATCCTCTGGAGTCGTGAGCTTTGCGGCTTTGGTTGGTAGATTGGAGGAGCAGATAACCGCTCGTGAGCGGGCGAACCGGTGAGCTTCTGTACGACATCCCTGAAGTCGTTCTTGTTGATGTTGTAAACCGGTGGCTGGTGCTGTTGAGCCTGGAGACTGCTTTGGTTCTGATTATGCAGGTGAGGCTCGGAGGGTGGAGGTTGCTGCGGTGGGTGGGTGTGGTCAAAGGAAGCCTTTTTGATGATAGGAGAAGCGTTGGTGGAGGGTTTGGAAA